ACCTTTTGCACACATGCCAATGTTTAAAGACTTTGTCTTCATTGACAATAATACACAAAACAAGATGTTATATTCTTTTCTTTTTTCAGCAACATCAAAACTCAAATTATTATTTGACAATAACACTCAAGTACACTTGCTACAAATATTCGGATTCTGATTGATGAAACTTTGAGCGTTTGTATTTTTTTTTCTTTTTCTTTAGAAAGTACTCAAGACAAAGACAATCAGGACTCACCTGTATATGCCAAGTGAAGTGCTCTATTATTAATGAGAAATATCATTGCAAAGTATGTTCAGTAAATTACTGGGTGGATATCTTGTACTCAGAACATAGGCCGACCACCACAAAGAATATATTTGCCACCCAAGCAACAGCTCTATTCACCTCCCTTGACACAAAAGCCAAAGTTGGAATATTCATGATGATCACATTTAGTCCTAAATCTAAAATATGACTATATATTAAGCCCCCAAGTACACAACTTTATTTTGTTATTGTTATTATTTGGCCTTAATTAAGGTACAAAGCCAACACTAGAACAACTAAATATGATCTCTTATGCTCATGAATGCTTTTTAGCGCTCTTCCTTAGACAAAATTTAGTTCATAATCTATAACCTATGGGATTTATATCAATTTAGTGGGGCCGGAGGTCGAGAAGATGACAATCGACGCCATATATTCTACCATGCAGAATTCACTAGCATGAGCACGCAAGTGCATCTCAATGTGAACTTTGGTATGAATCAATAAGTCATGTAGCATGAGGGCCTTAATTAATAGCCATGAACAAAGTTTTAGAGTGAAAATATGAAAAACATGGGGTTATTTCTTTTTTTAGTTTGAAGAGTTTGAATTCATAATCGCTTCCAAATCTATATACTCATGGCACATTTTGTCTCTATTAATACGTGTAAAACACTCACCATATAATATTCAGCTCCGAAAACCGATGCCGATCGTCGAAAATACCCCATGGGATAAACACTATTACTTACACCCTTCTTCTGTAGTACCCCACGTTTCGAAATTTTGATTTCCTGAACAGGGTGACCCAGAAAATGGCCGGAGACAAGGTTCCATTCGCGGAAGAAGACAGCATGAAAATGGGTCTGCTAGCTGATGAAGACAGAAGGGCGGGTTCAGGTGTTACTACGTTGAATTATGGTTATGTTGAGGAAGTGAAGAGAATTGGATTCTTAGCCGGGCCGATGGTGGCCGTTAATTTCTCGCAGTATTTTTTGCAAGTTATATCGGTGATGATGGTGGGTCATCTTGGTGAGCTCTGGCTCTCCAGCTCCGCCATTGCCGTTTCCTTTTGTGCTGTTACCGGCTTCAGTCTTCTAGTGAGTGTTCTGTTTTCTATCTTTGTAATTGCTATCATGTCCATCAATGATTCTTTCATTTTCATGGGTTGGTTAAAGTTTCAGGCTATCAGAAGAGCAGAACATTAATTGCATTCATAATCAATTCTAAAACTTTCTGAATAATTACTTTGAATTTTTCCCAATGTTAAAGAGAACTGTTGTAAAGTCACAGTGTCACATAATTTTTGATTGCTGTTAGAGCAATTGTGAGTCAAACAATATTCAATTATTCAACTCTCACAAAACTATTAGAGAAGCTTTACTATTTTTTTAACATTTTTAGTTCTTTTCTGCCCAACAACCTTAGTCGGTGTTAGACTTGAAGAACACCTTAGTTAGTACCTAATTGGAGTTTCTACATGGCAAACAGTTTGGAATGGCAAGTGTACTGGAACCTCTTTGTGGACAAGCTTATGGAGCTCAGCAGTATGGAAAGCTAGGAAATCAGACATACGGAGCTATTTTCTGCCTCATGTTAGTTTGCATACCTCTATCTATCCTGTGGATTTACATGGGTGATTTACTCACTTTAATAGGCCAAGATCCTCAGATTTCACATGAGGCTGGTAAATTCGCAATGTGGCTCCTCCCAGCAATGTATGCTTATGCAACTTTCCAACCACTTGTTCGATTCTTTCAAGCGCAAAGTTTGATTATTCCCATGCTTGTAAGCTCTTGTTACACATTTTGCTTCCACATATTTCTTTGTTGGGCTTTGGTGTTCAAGTTTGGACTAGGAAACAATGGAGCAGCATTTGCAATCAGTATTTCCTATTGGTTAAATGTCCTCTTTCTAGTATTATACCTCAAGTACTCAAGTAGCTGTGAGAAAACTCGTGTTCCAAAAACCATGGATCTATTTAAAGGAATTCGAGAGTTCTTCCATTTTGCCATCCCTTCTGCTTTTATGATTTGGTAATGTTCATTCTTTTATCTTTCCAGCTGTGGTTAGGAGCTCTTTTGATTATTTGCCTTAGAGATTACTTTCCTTGATGTCCATGTTCATTTTCAGCCTCGAGTGGTGGTCATTTGAGTTGCTAACAATGTTGTCTGGGCTCTTGCCGAACCCAAAGCTAGAAACTTCAGTTTTATCTGTATGGTATGTTGTCTTTACTACTGCTCAGCTTTGTAAATAGTTAGATTTCGAATTGAATTAGCTCAATTTTTTTTTCTTTACTATGACCATGATTATTTTCTAAATGAAATATATATGACATCTGGAATTCCTGTTGTTTTACCAGTTTAGCAATCACATCAGCCCTTTATCCTATACCTGAAGGACTAGGAGCAGCAGCAAGGTAGGCTGAAAGCATTATATACACATGTAGCTATATATGTGTATGTGTGTTTATAACTGATATAATGTACATCTATTTCTTCATAAATTTAGGCAATAAAACTTCTTTTTCTAATTTTCCATTTGGTGGAGACAGCACTAGAATCTCAAATGAACTCGGAGCAGGGAACGCAAAGGCAGCTGGTAGATCTGCTTTCATTGTCATGTTGATAGTAGTCTCAGAATCTGTATTAGTCAGCGCGACCCTCTTTACCAGCGGGCATGTTTTTGGTTATGTCTTCAGCAATGAAAAGGAAGTTGTGGATTACGTCACGGCCATGGCTCCTTTACTATGTATATCTGTTATACTGGACAGCTTATGTGTAACCCTTTCAGGTACTTCCAATGCCCCTTCTTTTCAATGCTTTAGTTACTCTTGAATACATGAATCTCACAGGCAAGAAGCCTAACTGGTTTCCTCAAATCAGGTATTGCTAGGGGATCCGGATGGCAGGACTTAGGGGCTTATATTAACCTGGTTGCATACTACTTCTGTGGAGTCCCAATTGCTATATTATTGGGATTTTGGTTACAGCTCAGAGGAAAAGGCCTTTGGATGGGAATGCAAGCCGGTGCCCTATTACAATCAGTCTTACTATTCATTATTACAAGCTGTACAGATTGGGAAAAAAAGGTTAGCCCAACTTATGATTTGATTAGCTTTTGTCATCTTCATCAAATAATCTCATCATGAAAAAGTGAAAAACAAATCTCAAACTTGTGAAAATGCATCAAGATTATTTTAAAATTATTTTGGTTTTACTCTTCTTATCTGAGGCTTTCTCTCTCTCTCTCTCTCTCTCGGATTTCAGGCAAGCAAGGCGAGATGCAGATTATTGAAGGAAGATGTCCATCCAGACATGATAATGTAGAAAATTTGGTTTGAGGTAGCAGCCAATTTTAGTTTTGCAGTAGTTGCAAAAGTGAAGAAAATACTGGTAGGAGGGTTGAGAACTTTGTAAGATTTTCCCTCTTTTTTTTCGTTTTTGCTTTTTCTTTTTTTGTGTTCGAAGCATCTAAAATTGGCAAAAACTTACCTTTAATCATTTACCTTAATAAATTTGTAGGTTTTAATATTTAATATTTAATCTCTCATTTATATGAATGAAAGAAAATAATCTTTACTTAATGTAAATTTATAACGTTTTGTTAATTCTGTTAACTAATTGTTAATTTTATTAGTTGATTGTTAATTATATTAGTTAACTGTTAATTTTGTCAGCTGACTGTTAGTTTTATTAACTAACTGTTAGTTATATTAGTTTATTGTTAGCATTTCGTTAACGAAATTAATAAATAAAATTGAATTTAAATTTCATATTTTCTATAACGGAATGCTAATAGTCAATTAACAAAACTAACAGTCAGTTAACAAAATATTAAATAAAGATTATTTTCTTTAATTCGTATAAGTAAGGAACTAAAAGTTTTATAATATAAAGTGGAAAGTTAAAACCTATAAATTTATTAAGATAAAAATCTAAAAGTAAGTAATTATCCTGAAAATTGATATTTATGTGTTTAGGCTTGTCTTTTTGTGTTTTGGAGAGGGAATAAAAGAGATAATAACCTGTAAGGAAATTGCCCCTCTCTCTCTCTCTCTCTTTTGGGCAAATCAAAGAAAGTAGCACTAATCTTTGATCCAAAATTAAGTTCCTCTAATAATTAAACATCAGTTGGCCAACAAAATTGAAGTTTACTCCATTTAGAAAAAATAATTTATTTTTGAGAAAAGAACAAAAAATAGTGATTAATTGAACATAAAAAAAGTATTGTAAAAT